ATAAAAACGTGATACAGCACAGATAATGTTAGTTTGAGGATTTCTAAGTCAACACACTGCCCTGCACGGATCTGTTTGTGGTCCCGGCACCGAGATGCTTCCCACCTTGGCTCTTGGTAGCGAAAGCTCAGGGGTCAATAGAGCCAAGCTCACGTGGCGTCAGTACTGATCGAGGCTGGGAGGTGCCACGTGATGGCCAGCCTGGGCGGGTCCAGCATCTCCTGCCCTTCTGTTGTTCTGCTGCTGGGGGAGCTGGGTGGGAGCCCAGGTCTGTGGCTTGTGCCGCTCCACAGCCCACTGTACACAGCATACACCAGAATTGGGGAAGGAAGCCATGCTGAGGGCGGGCCGTGGTCAGATTCAGCCTCGCTCGCCCTGTGTGAAGCATATTAGCCGAGCTGCTTCCTTCCCATTTCTGGTCCCTGGAGAAGGGTGCTTGGTGGGCATGAGGCAGCCTGCAGCCTGCAGAGCACAGTCCATTACAGTCACTTATGCATTCAACAAACACTTGTGGAATACTTGCCAGAGGCTCTGCTCTGGGTGGTAGCTGGTGGCACAATGGATAAAGGTCTGGGCCTGGAAGTTCTCTGGAAGTGCTCTGGACAAGTCACTTCAATGCTATCTGCCTCAGTTTCCCTCGTCTGCAAAATGGGGATAATAATAGCACCTACCTCCCAGGGTTGTTATAAGGAACAGATGAGATATCATCTGTAAAGTGCTTAATATTAATAATAATGACAGTTAACATTTATAAAGTATCGAGTTCAAATCCAGCCTCAGACACTCACTAGCTATATGACCCTGGGCTAGTCATTTCATCACTGCCTGCCTCAGTTTCCTCAATTGTAAAATAGGGATAATAATAGCACCTATCTCCCAGGGTTATTGTGAGGATCATATGAAGAAATATTTGTAAGGAGCTTAGAACAATGTCTGGTACACAGTAGGTGCTAATTTACATTCTTGTTTCTTCTCTCCCTCTGCTTTACCTTCGGGGTATGCGAAACAGGGTTAGTTTTTTTTAAATAAAGAACAATAAAAGATGTAAATAATTATTTTGGACAATGCTAGACATCCATCATTGCTGAATGAATAATGTAGTAAAAGCTACAGGGAAAGAGAATAAATAGTTAAGTGCCTGCTACGTGCTAGGCACTGAGCTAAGTGCTTTTAGAACTCATCTTCTTGACTCCAGGCCCAGGGCTTTATCCACCTAACTACCTGGTTGTCTCTATAACAGGAGTTCTTATGTTGGGTCCATATATTTTAAATATATATTTTAATAGCTGTAGTTTTATAAAACTAGCTTCCTTTGCAATCTTATACATTTTATTTGCTGTTTTAAAACATTCTTCTGAGAAGGCATCCATAGATTTCTCCTGGTTTGCCAAAGGGATTCATGACTCAAAGAAGGCTAAGAACACTTGGGTTGTATATAAGAAGCCAGAGGAGGGTTGGACAACCGTATCACTCAGGCCTGTTTGAATGGCCGAGTTCAAAGAGCACTCATTGGGAGTTTGATGTCAACTTGGGAAGAGGTCTCCTGCGGAGACCTGGGAATCTGATGGAAAGGACAAACATCCTGGATGATGGAGTGTGAGCCTCAAAAGATCCTGCCAGGCTAGGCAGAACTGGGCTGAATCCCCAAAGGTGAAATCCATCAGGGGAGAGTGTACAGTCTTCCACTTGGGTTCAAAAAAGTCAGCTTCATAAGGAGAAGATGGGGGGTGGGGCTGGATGGCTAGACAGCTATTCATCTAAAGAAAGGCTGAGGGTCTTAGTGGACTGCAAGCTTATCATGGATCAACAGAGTGCTCTGGTCTTAGAAAGTGATCTTAGACTATCTTAAGAAAGAGATAGCACTCAGGAATAAGGAGGTGCGGTCCTTGCTGTTTTCTGCAAGAATGTCATATGTAGACCACATCTAGCACGCTGTGTCCAACTGTGGCCACCGTATTTTGGGAAGGACATTGAAAAGTTGGAGAGGTCCAGGGTGGGTAACAGGATAGTGATGAACCTTCAGATCATGCTGCATGAGGATGGGCCGAAGGGACTAAGGGTGTCTAGCCTTGGGAAGAAAAGATTTAGGGAACATGATAATTGTCAAGTATCTGAATTGCTGCTACATAGAAGGATTAGATGTTCTGCCTGGCTAAGAGCAATGAGTAGAAAGAGACAGCTTAGTGTTGATGTAAGGACCAATGTCCTATAATTAAAGGGGTCCCAAAGTGCCTCTGGAGGTGCTGAGTTTTCTTGCACTGGAGGGCTTCAGACAGAGGCTGGTAGTCACTGGTCTGCCATCTTGTAGTGGGCATTTTTAGAAAGCCAGGGATAGGATTAGACGGTGTCTGAAATCCTTCCAATTTCAGATTTAGTGACTGAAACGCCAGCATCTTCAATGATTAGTGGGTTGGTAAGTCAGGCACGTAGGCAAGTCAAGAAGTATTTACTAAACACTTACTAGGTGCCAGGCACCTAGTAAGTGATGCTGGGGATACAAGAAAGATAGTCCCTGCCCACAAGGAGCTTACACTCTAATGGGGAAAGGGAGCTCATAAGGTGAGCCAATGATGATGCCTGTACAAAGATGTGGTTTGAAAGCCTAGAAACTCAGAAGCAGAATCAGAAGAGGAATGAAGGCTGACTGTTCCGGGATCCCCCACCAAACAGAGGCCCCAGGAGGAAATCCCCCATGGAAGGGGTGAGGGGAGGCAGATTCCAGAGTGAGAGACTGCAGGACAAGCTGGATATTCTGGGACGAGGAGGCCCAGGTGCTGAGGGAAGTTCCAGGTGGGAACAGAAGCAGAGGACCCTTCTCATGCCATCCCCATCTGTCTCTAACTATGGGAGCTGCCCATCTTCTCTTCAATCACACATTTTCCTGATGACATTTGTTGCTACAGTTTTTCAAAGTGCCTTATTTGTCACCTCTTGCAGCCCACTTCCACCCACCACAAGCTTCTCTAATGCTTTCTAGATTACACTCATTTTGACCTCTTTGGAGAGTGTTCTATACAACAGCATTGGTAGAATGTTGGTATTAAATAAATGTGGCTTTGTTTCTGGGGGAAGAGTGGGCTCATTAAAGCCGTTAGTCAGTCAATAAACATTTATTAAGTGCTTGCTTTGGGTCAGGCACTGTGCTAAACCCGCTGCATACAAAAAAAGGTAAAAGAAAAGTCCCTGCCCTTGAGGAGCAGGTGGGATTTGGAGCAGCAGGGACTTTGTATTGTCTGTCTCAGAGGGATTACTGATGTACAAGCTCCAATTTCATGTTATAATCCAACAGACAGGCATTCTCATCTACTTTTTTCCCCCTTTTCTAATTGCTACAGTTATTAAATTTCTACTGCAGACAGTACTGGAGAAGAGTTTAGGGTCAAGGACAACTGTAGCAGATTGTCAAGGGAAGAGTCTCATGAGGAATAGGAGTCAGGTTACCAGTCTGGGATGAGGAAAAGGACCTGGGGGAAAGCAGACACAGCAAGTAAGGAGTGAGGTTAGGAAGATTCAAGCTCAAAGTCAGGAACTGTAGGGAAACCATGTTGTGCCATGACTCCCAGGCAGGTGCAGGTAGGGCCAAAGAAACGGATTGCCTGGGGAGAGTAGTGTTCAAAGAGTTAAACAGGTGACCTACAACTGGTAGTCTAGTTAGCCAGGTACCCTGGCTGGAATTCCTGGCCTATGGCTAACCAGATGAACCCCTAATGCTTCACTCGGTTGCCTTTCCACTGCCTCCTTTCCTGTGCCTACATTCCTCTCCGGGTCAATTTGTCATGAAAAAAAAAAAGGACTTCATAAACACATTCATGTCAAAATAGGAGATAGGGCTGAACTTGAAAAGACCCCCCCCCCCATTTCAAAAGACCTTGGTTCTTGCCATTGGATTGCTGTGTGTCCTCGGGCTGGTCACTTCTCCTTTCTAGTGGTCACCTTGGCCCAGTATAAAATGAAGAGGTTGGGCTAGGTTCATCTCCCACGTGTCTTCTACCTGATGCTGTGCGTTTCTAGCCTTCGGATACTGCTGGTTAGAAGATCTAGAACCTGCCAGTGGCAGAGGTCCATCCTAAGTCTGAAGAAAGACAAGAATCCATCAATCAACCATTTATTAAGTGTCTGCTGTGTGCCAGGCACTGTCTGTTTCAGTAGGAAGGAACCTTAGAGATGATCTAGTCCAGCCAGTCAGTCAACAAACATTTACATGCATGCACTGTGCTAAGCGCTGGGGACAGAAAGACGGACAAAAAAGCCAGTCTCTGCTCGCCAGGAGCTCACAGCCTACTTGCTCTTCAGAGAAGGGAAGGGATGTCTCTGCATCAGTTCAGGCTGGCAGCTTCATCTGCCTTTTATCTTTGTGAAGTTCCTCGGAGGTACAGGGAGGTCTAGCAGCTTGGGCAGGACCACCCAGCCAGTGTCAGTTGCAGGACTAGAACCTTGAAACTTCCTGTGTCTTGAGGCCGGCTCTCTAACCAGTAGCCACACTTTCTCAGCAATTGCAGGGGCTTCATTTCTATTGGCTTTAAAGTTTGCAAAGCGCTTCAGGGCCTCAAATGAACAACTTCAAGTGCGCTTTGCACAACGCTTTACGGGGCGCAGGCGAGTAACCTCGTGTCCTGCCAACGGGCTCTTGGATAGAAAGTCGAGGCGGGGCTGGAGAAGTGGGACAGGGAAGGAGGGACTACAAATCCCAGGAGGTTGTGCGCGGCGTCCGGCCTGTCATAGGACAAGGAGAGGCTGCGAGGGAGGGGGGGAATGAGGGAGAGAGGGAAAGAGCGACAGTCAATCCCAGGCTGCTTTGTGGAGCAGAAGGCCGTGGAAGCGGGAGCGACTACGCTTCCCAGAGTGCCTTGCTCTCCGCCCCGGGCGAGGACTACGTGTCCCAGGCGGCCTCGCGCGGCGGGCGGCCGTCCTGTCGGTCGGGAGTGGGGCGGGGACGGAGGCGGAGGCGGGGCGAGTCGGCTCCGCTCCGGGATCGGCCGCGGCGGGCGGGCCGTTGGCGCTGCGGGCGCCCGGGGATGCCCGGGGCTGGGGCTGGGGCCGGGGCCGGGGCCGGGGCCGCGGCTGCGGAGGAGGGCGGGGGCCCCGAGGCCGCGCGGGAGCCGGCGCGGCTCTGCGGCTACCTGCAGAAGCTGTCGGGCAAGGGCCCCCTGCGCGGCTACCGCAGCCGCTGGTTTGTGTTCGACCCGCGCCGCTGCTACCTCTACTACTTCAAGAGTCCGCAGGACGCGCTGCCCCTCGGCCACCTGGACATCGCCGACGCCTGCTTCAGCTACCAGGGGCCGGACGAGCCTCCCGCCGCCGGGGCCGCCGCCGCGGGGCCCGCCTCGGCCGGGAGCGCCGACGAGCCGCCCGCCGCGCTCTTCCAGGTGCACAGCGGAGGAGGCGTCACGGTGCTCAAGGTGGGCGCCCCGCCCCCCCGCGGCCCGGGGGACCCTCTCCAACGGAACCCTCCCGCATAACTGACGGCCCCTACCCAGTGGAGTCTCCACTCCCCAACCCCCTCTCGGCTACGGTCTGTGGGACCCTCCCCAACCAGGACACTCCCCTCCATGAAGACGCTTCCCCTACGCTCCCCAAACTGAGCCTCCTCCAACGGAGCGAGCCCACCCTCCATCTTCCCTCTCTTCTTTCTCCCTTTCCCTCCTCCCTTCCTTCTCACTGTCCCTTTCCCCCTCCAGTCTTTATTCCCTTTCAGTTCTTTTCGTCGGCTCCAGTCCCCTTCCCACCCACCACTTCTCCTTTATCTCCCTCTTTTCTTCCCCTCCTGTCCCTTATCCCACCCTCTTTCTCCCTTGTGGCAACGCCAGCTCTGTCATTTATTGCCTGTGTGACTTTGGACAAGTCATTTCCCCATTAAGCACCTCAGTTTCCTTGCTCTTTAAAACGAAGGGGTTGGGTTAGTTCTCTGAAATTCTAAATCCTTTGTGCTTCTTGTGATCTAGCAGCTACAACACTGTCCCCAGATTATTCTGCTGATTAAATCCCCGATTAATTGTAAGGTTTGGGTGATTTCTTGCGTTGTGTTGCTACTAATTTCCTCTGCTTTGGTCTACTCTAGGACCTTGTTAGTGTGTCCTGCATCCTTTCTTATTTGGAGATATTGCCTGAACCTCATTATCTTTCTTTTGGGTGCCGTCCCTATTTGTATTCAGCCATATAATTTTCTGTCCCTCTTTAAGCCACTTGAGGAGAAGTAGTGGATGGAATGAATGCTGGACTTACTGATTCTGGACAGTTATGTAACCTCTCTGCCTCAGTTTTACCATCTGTAAAAATGAGGAGGTTGGACAGATGGCCTCTAATCTGTGCTTCTGCAGACTCCATCCACACTTTATCTTGTCCTTCCCTCTCCTTATTTCCTCCTTATTATCCCTGCTAACTTTGCTTGCTCAACTGTCTTCTGCTTACCCCCTTCCCTATTTCTTGATTCTCTGCATGACCTTTTTGCTAGAGCCTACGACTCCCTCTTTCCCATTCTTGTGTTTTCTTGGGTGCTTTCCATCCTCACTCGTTTTCTCATTTCTTCTTTCTATTCTTTATCATAATCTGTTCCTTATTCAGAGCGATTTTTCTCCTGCGTGGTGTTTTTTTTGTTTAAAACTAACAAAATGATCAGCACCAACTGGGGGTGACAGTTGTGAACTGGGGGTTTTCCCAAGGGATCCCTTTACTAAGTCAGTCATACTCAGCAGCTCTGTTTGCCCACAACTGAGGTCATTATGAAGCGTTTACTTTTTATTCTTCCATTACCATTTTGTTCTGGTTTTGATTATAGCTGGAAGGTTCTAGCAAATTAGTTTTCTCTGTGCTGCCTAACTAGATGTTCAGAACTTGTGGGCACTTTTCTCCAGTGAAGTAGAAGAGATGCAGAATTTGAGTTGTGTTTACCAAAGTCTTTAAATAATTTAAGAATAGTTCCTCAAGTACAGAGGGATTTTTGCCCAAAACAATGACTTGTCAGTAGCTAACAAATTTACCACCCCAAGGTAAATTTAATTTCCCGTCTAACTTTATTAAAAATGAAAATAGAGGTTCCTCATCACATAGTTTCAGGTCTTAGTATCCTGCTTCAAAATTCCTTTGATTACTTTTGGACATGCTTTTATTGCTTCCTCCCTCCTCCCCAAGTCCTTGTGTATCATAGAACTGTTTACATAAAACAAGGACCAGCCCTTAGTTGTGCTGTCTGGGAGAAGAAACTTTTTCTCCCTTATTTTCTCTGCCCGGACAGTACAACTAGTGACAATAAATTTGCCTCTGGGAGTGAGTTTCCTCATCTGGAAAATGAAGGAGTTGGGCTAGTTTCTAAGACCTCTTCCAGCTCTGAAGTTCTGTGATTCAGATTTGTATGTGTAGGTCATGTGCTACTGGAAATGATCTTTTAAGACTTGAGGAAAGTGACTTTGGGGTTGGAAGACAAGGGAGCTAAATTTACCAGTTTTTATCTCTCTCTCCCCAAATATATATAACATATATATTTTTACACACACACACACGTGTATATATATATATATATATTTTTTTTTTTTTGGCGTAAGAAATCCGTCTTAAACTAATTATAAAGTAAGACCATATCTGGATAAAACAATTGAGTTACTTTCTTTTTAAAATGTTATACCAATGAAGATAAAGGTGAAAGCCCTATAAAAAGCAGTGTAAAAGTTAAAAATAATATTAGGCTTGGGATGGGAATATGCTTTAAGAGGCTGAATCTTAATGTGATTTTAAACTTTGCTTTGTTAGTGAAACTTTGTGAAAATTTTAAGTGAAAATTAGTACTCGTTCTTACTAACTTTTAGATCAAAGTCCAGGTTCATAGTTAATTCAATTTGATTAGCCATTGCCCAGTTGGGTCACAAGGTAGATTCAGTTTCCGAGTGGATTTTTGTTTTGTTTTGTTTTTTGATGAGGCAGTTGGGGTTAAAGGACTTGCCCAGAGTCACACAGCTAGTGCAAGTGTTATGTGTCTGAGGGCACATTTGAACTCAGGTCCTCCTGACTCCAGTGCTGGTGCTTTATCCACTGCGCCACCTAGCTGCCCTGAGTGGATTTTTGTAATTCTGGATTGTCTTGCTTAAATTTAATTTTCATGTGTGTGTATGTATATACATACGTATATGAATTGCCTTGCTTAAATGTGTTTCGTATGTGTGTATATATACAGACATATGAATATGTGGATAGAACATTTGATATAAAAAGCTTTCTTTTTATAAATTTATATCCCATTTGTTGTTGAGTAGTTTCAGTCATGTCTGACCTTCATGACCCCGTTTGGGGTTTTCTTGGCAAAGTTACTGGAGGGGTTTGGCATTTTCTTCTCCAGCTCATTTTACAGATGAGGAAACTGAGGCAAACAAGATTAAGTGACTTACCCAGTGTCACCTAGCTAGTAAGTGTCTGAGGCCAGATTGGAACTCTGACATATGAGTCTTCCTGACTCCCATACCAGTGCTCTGTGCGCTGGCCATTGAGCCATGCTGCCTTATATCCCATGTGATCATTGAGGCAGTAGACACCTTGGAGATTGTCTAGTCCTGTGCTGTAATTTGACAGATAAGGAAAATGGCTCCGAGATGTTGGTGGAGTCACAGCAGTAGAAAGTGCAGGTTGAGGATTCAGTGCAGATCCTGACTCTAAAGACTCGTTGCCCCATTCTCATTTTGTTCCCCTGAGGTCTTCTTAAGAAGAAATGCCTGTGGTTGGGGTTAATGGGGCTTTTCTGAGATACTCCACTTCTTAAGGAGCCTCAAAGGAGTAAACATCCTGTTTGAGAACTAGCCCTGCTGATGGCGGGTTAGGGTAAGCCCACGTATCCTACCTCCTCTTGCCAGAAGCCCTAGCTCCCAGGGAACCAATACTTCTTGTACCGAAACAGAAGCTTGAGACATACTAGTGTGTAGCCTTCGCCTGTTTCACTCAGGTATTTTCTTTTAATCTTTTTTTTAAAGTGAAAGGACAGGAATCATTTTCACCTTGATTTGTATGTCAGTCAGATATTGTTGAAAGATCCCTGGACTTGGGAGTGAGGCAACCGGAGTTTGAACCTTAGCTCTGCAAATTACTGGCTGCTTGACTTTGGGCAGGACAATGCAGGTCCCAGGGTCTCAGTTTAGCTTTCTGTAAAATCAAAGGGTTAGGTGAGATAAGCCCTGAGGTTCCTTTCCAGCTGCAAGTGGAAAGAAGAAAAGACCCATTTTAGATCAGGTTGACCCTTGGAAGACATAGCCAAGCTTGGCACAGGGGAGTGCTTAATCCATGCCTGTTAACTGCTGGACCTGCATATTGGGCTGCTTCCAAAACATTCTCTTGTTTCTGTGACTTAAATAAGGTCATAAGGCTGGAGACAAGTGAACATGGACAGCAGAAGAAGGGTAATGAGGGCATGTGATACAGCCTGGAGTGGGGAGGACTTTCCTCGTTGGGGTCTTTCCCCAGTCAGGGCTTACTGAGTATCTGTGGACTTCCATTGAACTCAGTTAATACAGCCTCATTCCTCCCCCCGCCCCCCATCTTGATTGCCAGGCGTCTTGGTTCAGTTCGGTTTGGTTTCCGTGACCCAGGGCCGCAGCGCACATTGTGATTTTGTTTTGTTAAAAGTGTTGGTGTTTCCTTTGCCTGGGCCTTGCCGGGCTAGGTCACGACCACTGAGTAGTCACATGTTCGTGTTTATGTGAAGGGCACAACTTTTCTATGAAACATCTTCTGTTTCTTGGTAAATACTTGTTGCTTTTGTAATCATAGAAAGTATATTTTCTGCAAAAGCACTCAGTAGTTTGTCATTTAATTCCTTAATCCTTAGTTACGATTTCCTTGTGACAGTCTTTTAGCTGTTGGCTTAAACTGCTGCTGAAGTCTGTTGCTCTTTGCTGTCTCACCTGTCTTCCCCCAAAGATTGTGGGCTCCTTGAGCTCTGGGACTGCCTCTGTTTGTTTGCCTTGAACACAGCATATGGTCATTTAATATTTAATTTGGATTTTGCTTGATATGAGGCCATTTGTTACTGCAACAAAAGTAATGGAAAATTAAAGTGCATAATTCTACCAATTGATTCCATCAGATTCATTTCATACCATCATAGAATCTCAGAGGCCAGCTAGTCTAAGCTGTACCTGTGTCCGTTTCGGTGTCATCCTGCTGGAGGCAATGCCTTCCATTTCAGACAGCTCTGACTCTTAGACAGTTCTTCCTTATGTCAGGCTGAGGCTCTGGTGGTGAACTGAGCTCTGAAATTGGAGTCACAGTGCCTGAGCACATCTCTTGGCATAATTCCTTACCCCTGGGGGACTGTAGACAAATCATTGAGCTTCTCTAGATCTCAGGTAATTCATCTTTTAAGTGAAGGGTTTGGCCTAAATGATCAATCACTAAGGGCCCTTGGAGCTTTAAATCTTAGGGG